CTTAAAAAAATAACATACATTTAAATATGTATAATGATAAATACCAATATTAAATTTAAAACATTTTACAAAAATCATTTTTTTTTGAAAGATTGTTATTTTATTCCTTTTATGATTATTAAGTGAATGAATTTTCTTCCTATTTTTAGTTAGATTAAAGTTAATTATAAATATTAATTAAAAAAAGGGTATGATGGTTTTTAAATAATCCATATAATATTAATGCCTCAAATGCAAAGCAAAAAGATTTAAAGAATATTTATTTAGAAATAATATTACTAATTGTTTTTCTTAATTAAATGTAAAAACATATAAATCTAAAAAGCAATCGAGTGAATCTACCAGCTCACCATATCCTAAAACAATAGTATAACATTTCCTTCATTATCTAATAGATGAAATAAATTTATGAATAAATATGATAGGACATAATTTTAAAAACTATTGTTCTATTGAAAATTTAATAATTATATATTCTTTGATTACACTAAAATCTTTATTGATAAGTTGCGATATTGAATTATTTTGGAAATAAAAAATGAAAAGATAATAGATTAAACAATTAAAATGAATTAAATAAGATAATAATTAGAAGAACTGTTATGGTTAATAATTTAGATGTGATGAATTTAACATTTTATACAACCACATATTCTCTATGTAATAAGTTTTTTTTGTGCAAATAAAAGTAATGAATATACTTCTAGAAAAATTTTTTGATTTGTAATGGTTTCTTTAAATAGAATCTAGAACTCAAATCACATTAGTAAGCACAACATCTATGTTAACCTTTGTAGCTGAAGCTATGTAGATTAGAGAAAGCTTATCTTTCAGAAAAGCAAGATGCTTAATTTTTCATATTAATAAAGAGAGTAAACCGATATATATTTATATGGAGAAATTTTTAAAATTAGAACATTGAAATTTTTGTTTCAAATTAATGAAAAAGGATATAATTCTAGGGCTAAAATCAAAATACTTTTATATTGATTGTTACTTTCGAAAAATGTAATTCAGAATTAGAATTATAATATAAAAAGTTGTTAGAAAAAGGATTTCAAATACTTAGTAGATTTGATCTATTTTTATAATTTTCTATTTGATAATTTCTTTACTTTCAATTTTTTCTATTTCATTCGTATTTTCAATTTTACATTTGTTTGTGTGTTTTAAAAACATCTCTTCTGCAATAGGATTATATTATATGGATGATATGAAATATTTAAGGGTTTAATGTTTGTTTTTTATGCAACTTAGATCATATATCAAATGGCACTAATCTTAATAATCACCTTGTATTGTAACTCCTATCCAACGAAGTCCTATATTAATAAACAATTACTATAATAAAGGAATGGTAATAATACTAATACATATCGTTACTTCCATTAAAATACATACTTACAATATTTTTTTCTCTCGCTTTATTTGTATTTCTCAGTTTCACCAAATTAAATTTATTATTTATCATAATTATAAAATTACTTTCTATAAATTTTATTTGTTTTCTCCAATATTCTTGCTTTTTTCCATCAACAGAATAACGATTAAATTTAATTGTATTCTTCTCTTGTATAGTTGACTTTTTCAAGCATTTGAA